GAACCCGGGTCCTCTGCAAGAGCAGTCATTGCTCTTAACCACTGAGCCATCTCTCCAGCCCTGGATTTTGTCTCTTAATCCATTCAACTATGCTGAGTCTCTTGACTGGGGATTTCAGTGCACTGATATTTAAAGTTATTATTGAAAGATGTGTAATGGTTGCCATTATTTTGATTCTTTGTCTAATTTTGTGTTTCCACAGTTATAGCTTCATTTAGTTTCTTTCTGTTGCCCCTGGGGTGTAGTTGTTCTTTCTCCATTCTTTGTATTGCTTCACGTACTCTTTGAAGAGTAGGTTTTGTGGACATGTATTCTTTTAGCATGTTGTGGAAGGTTTTTCTTTCCCCTTCAACTATAATAGACATTTTTGCTGGGAAAAGTATTCTGGGTTGGTATCTGTGGTCATTTAGACTGGGAATACGTTGATCCAGGCTCTTCTGGCTTTGGCATTGATAAGTCAGCTGTAATTCTGATGGGTTTTCCTTTATATTTTTGTCTTGCTTTGTTTTTCAGCTTTCAGTATTCTCACTTTGTTCTGTACACGTAGTGTTTTCACCATGGTGTGCCGTGGGGAGTTTCTTTTCTGGTCCTGTCTATTTGGTGTTCTGTGTGCTTCTTGTATTCTTCCTTTAATTTTGGGAAATTCTCTTCTACAATCCTGTTTAAGATTTGGCCAATACTGTTAACCTGAAATTCTCCTTCCTCTAAGCCTATGATGTGTAGATTTGGGCTTTTCATGGCATCCCACATTTCCTGTATATTCCTTTCCTGTATTTAAAAAATTTTTTTTCATAATCTTTGCTTGAGCAGTCCAATTCTTCAACTTTATCGTCCAGTGTTGATATTGTTTTCCATTTCGTTCATTCTATTGGTGAGGCATTCTCCTGGTGTTTCGAATTTTCTTAGTGAGTGTTTCACTTCCTTCTTCATTTCAGCCTGAGTTTTCTTCGGTATTTCTATCTCTTTTGTGAATCCAGTCAGAAGTTTATCCCTATCTTCTTTCAGTTCTCTGATTTGTTTGTGTGTTCTTTAAATTCCTTGAATTACTTGATCATGTTTATGATTGTTCTTTCAAATTCTGTGCCTCTAGGATCCCCTAGAGGGATTCTCCTTGTAGAACTCTTCTATAGGACTGGTGGAGTTTGGTGAGAATGTACTGTTTTGGTTTTCCATATTATTATTTTTCATTGTGATTTTTGCATGTGGATTTCTTTAGTTTATCATTCTGGTATGAAGGTTAAGCCTTCCTTTGTTAACTTGAATTCTGCTTCTGTTTGTATTATTGGTGTGCCTTGGTGGTTTTCTTGTTGAGTATGTAAACCTGGTTGGTCTAGTTTTCAGGTTGTCTTAGATTTTATATTGGAGGGAACTGATGGCTTCAGTTCAGTTTCTTAGGAGCTCCCACAGAGGACCAAGTCAGGCTGCAGAGAGGTATACTTTCAATGTCTGTACCTCTTCTAGTAGACACTTGCAGCACAATTTGGGAAGTTCGCTAAGGGGAGGCAGGATTTAGGTACGCCTAGGCATTCTGCTAAGGTCTCAACTCCTACTGTGTTGCAGAGAAGTCTAGCCCTGGCAAAGTGGGAGGGTCCTCACTTGGTCCCAGTTAGGGAGCTGGGCATGGTGTGATTTGGGGAAGCTCACCACCACTTGGAGGTGGGATCCAGGCACTCTCAGGTTGTCTGCTAAGGTCTCAGCCCCTACTGTGATTGTCTGTTTGTGACCACTTCTCCCCTTTCCCCTATGTTCCACTCCACTAAAAGCTCATCCACAACATGGACTTTATTTTTTAATATTTTATTTATTATTTTAATTTTATGCGTATGAGCATATTGCCTACATTTTATGTGAGTGCACCCATGCCGTGCAATGCCGAGGAGGTCAGAAGAGGGCTTTGGATTCCCCTGGGACTGGAGTTAAGGACAGTTCATAGCTGCCATGTGGGTGCTGGGAATCAAACCCGGGTCCTCTGCAAGAGCAGTCAGTGCTCTTAATCACTGAGCCATCTCTCCAGCCCCACAACATGGACTTTTTAACTTATAATAGTAGACTCACAGAAATTGCTTGAATGAGTGAATGTTATGCATCCAAGTAGTCTTGTTAGGCCAGCTGGGCTACAGGAATACCCTGTTGTTCTCCTCCTCCTCCCCTAAGCACCCCCAAAAGTGGTGTCAGGTTAGAAGTAATTTCAGTGGAGAATGAAGTGCCTGAAAGAATGAGTGAATGGCATCCCCTTCTAGTCTCTCTCAGAGTGATCTGCACAGCATTTGTGTCCTTCACAAAAAAAGATCAAACATATTAGAGAATGCCGCTGTTTTTGATATTCAGAGTACATCATAACAGCAAACAATAAATAATTTAAATACTTAGAGAAGCTCTGCTGTAAAAACCTTTTGTTGAGGGGGAGCTGTTGGTTTTTGTTGTTGTTACTGTTGTTTTTTTTTTTTTAAATAAGAGTCTCCCTGTAGCTGACCTGGAACTCATTATGTAGACCAGGCTGGCTTTGATCTCACAGAGATCCACCTACCTCTGCCTCCTGAGTGCTGGGTATAATAAAGGTAAAGCTTTTTTTTTTTTTGGTCCAGCATTTTTCTTAAGATATTTGATAATGGAGCCAGGCATGGTGGTGCATACCTTTAATCCCAGCACTTGGGAGCCTGGTCTACTAGCAAGTTCCAGGCTAGCCAGGGCTACAGGGAGACTGTGTCTCAAAAAGACCAAAAAAAAGGGGGCCTGGAGCAGTGGCTCAGTGGTTAAGAACACTGTTCTTGCAGAAGACCCGGGTTTGAATCCCAGCACCCATGTGGCAGCTAACAACTGTCCGTACCTCCAGTTCCAGGGGATCCGACAGCCTTTTCTGTCCTCTCGGGTATTTCAGTACATGGATGCACTTACATGCAGGCAATACACGCATACACATAAAATAAAAATAATAAATAAAATATTTAAAAAATAAATAAAAGACCCCCCAAAAGCTATTTAATTATGGAAACTTTTTAGTTAGGGTAACTGTCATTTCTTTCAGCGTGCTATTGATATTTGAAAGATTTAAAATTTGCCAGACATAAATGTCCTGTTTTTCCCTTTAGCCCAATTAATATGTAATTTTAAAACATAATCAGGCTGACCGAAGGTATACTTATAGGAACTCTGGATATTTGCAGTTAGAATAGAGAACCTGAGGGAGGAGACAGCTAGCAGTCTTCTAATGGAAGAGGCATGACAAGCCATACTTTTAAACTAGAAAGTAAGAGTCAGAACCATTTAAAGAAGTTGTAGGAGGGTAGATTTTGAATTAGATTAAAGATAACTTTCTAGTAATTAAAACTGTCTAGAGAGTAGAACTAGTACTTTGGAAGATGAATAAATTTTTTTGTCTGTGAAAGTTGTCAGACCCATAGTGTTGCTCTAGAGAAGTGTAGCATGTCAGATTGGAAGTGTATAGTTTTTTTGTTTCTCTTGTCTTTTTAAAAAATATTTTATTATTTTTATTTTATGTGTACGAGTGTATTGCCTGCATGTGTGTAACTGCGCCCGTGTCATGCAGTGCCTGCCTAGGTCAGAAGAAGGCATCAGATCCCTTAGAAGTGGAGCTAAAGATGGTTGTTAACCACCATGTGGGTGCTGGGAATCAAACCCCAGTCCTCTGCAAGAGCAACCGGTGCTCTTAACTGCTGAACTATCTCTCCAGCCCCTTCTCTTGTCTTTTTGAGACAAGATCTCCCTGTAGCTGCAGCTGGCCTGGAATTCACTATGTAGATCAGTAAACCAGGCTGGCATTGAACTCACAGAGATCTGCCTGCCTCTGCCTCTGCCTCCTACCTGCACGTGGAATAGTATTATTTTATTTTATTTTATTGATCTTTTTGACACAGGGTCTCCCTACAGCCTCAGCTGGCCTGGAAGTCTCTATGTAGACCAGGTTCACCTTGAACTCACAAAGATCTGCCTTCCTCTGCCTCCCAGTGCTGGGATTAAAGGCGTGTGTCACCACACCCGGCTTTGAAGAGTAGTTTTTTTGTTGTTTTTTAAAATATTTTATTTATTTATTTATTTATTTATTTATTTATTTATTTCTTTTTATTTTATGTGTATGAGTGTGTTGCCTGCATGTATATGAGTGCACCTGTGTCGTGCAATCCTGCAGAAATCAGAAGAGGGCTTCGGATTCCCCTGGAATTAGAGTTAAGGACAGTTCGTAGCCGCCATGTGGGTGCTGGGAGTTGAACTGAAGTCTTCTGCAAGAGTAGTCAGTGCTCTTAACCACTGAGCCATCTCTCCAGCCCCCGAAGAGTAGCTTTTTTAAAAACATGAAATCCATTAGACTCAATTTCTAAGGTAGCCACCAACTTGAAATTTATATTCTTTGATTCCTTTCCCATGGTATGAATTTCTATCTTGGTCTGAAATCTAAATGTGCAGCATAAGGAGCACATGAGAAATTCTATTTGTACAATTAAATTGTGGGTTTTCAGTGGTTATTTATTGCATTACTGGGTGTTGAACCTGGGGTCCTCCACATGCTAGACGAGTGCTTTACTACTAAGCTGTATCTCCAGCCATATTTTAAAAAAATGTTTTATGGGACAGTTTTCTGTAAACAGAAAAATGAAGGAGAAAATTCAGAGCATTTACTTTGTACATTCTTTCCACACATACACAATCTCCCCCACTGAATCTGTCCTACATAGCAACTTCTGTAATCATTACACCTGCGCTCACTGTCACTTTCACATACTCTGTAATTTGTGGTAGATTTCATTCTTGATGACAATTTCAAAGAAAATATGAATATTCCTTCTCATTTTTAAGAAACTAGTATTTAGTTATTTCTTGTTCTAGTTTAGCTTTTTAGTATTCAGGGTGTTGAAAACTAGAATTAGCATCATATTTATGTTTTGAAAAAGTATTCGGGGCTGAGGGAATATCTTTTTATAATCTTAAATATTTGTAAATATTTTACTATGTTGGCTAACAGTATTTTTTCCCTTCTTTTTAAGTACCAAAAGAATTGGTAGAGCTCCACTTGAAGCTGATGAGGAAGATTGGCAAATCTGTGACAGCAGACAGATGGGAAAAATACTTGATCAAGGTAACTATTTGTAAATTACTTCTGTCACTGACTCCTTTAGTGTAAATTGATAGTTGTATTTAATACTATGCTTAACCTAAATTTTTTTTAAATTTATTTTTTAAAATTTTATGTGTATGAGTCTGTTGCCTGCATGTATGTAAGTGCTCCCATGCATACAGTGTCCATGGAGGCCAAAAGAGAGTAATCATATTCCCTGGAGCTGAAGTTGTAGATGGTTGTTAGCTGCCATGTAGGTGCTGGGAACTGAACCTCAGTCCTCTGCAAGAGCAGCCAGTGCTCTTGACCACTTCTCCAGCCATTAAGTATGCTTAACTCGTAAAATAACTTTATTAGAAGAGAGTATGATTCAAGCCATATTATTACCGTATATGATTCTCCTCTTTTGGCTGTTGCTATGCAGTAATTGCAGTAATAGTTTTTTTATATGTAGGGGTGGTGTGTGTGTGTGTGTGTGTGTGTGTGTGTGTGTGTGTGTATGTGTGTGTGTTTTAGTTTTAAATTTTTTTTAATTTATTTTTTTAAATTATTTTTTAAAATCATTTATTATTTTTTATTTTATTTTTATCTTATTGAGACAGGGTTTCCCTGTAGCCCCAGGTGGCCTGGAACTTGATTTGTAGACGAGGCTGGCCTTGAACTCACAGAGATCCGCCTGCTTCTGTCTCCAGAGTGCTAGGATTAAAGGCATACACCACCATGCCCGGCTATTTTTTTGTTTTGTTTTGTTTGGGAGACAAGTTCTCTATAAAACCCAGGTTGGCTTTGAACTTGTGGTTGTCCTACCTCACCACAAGCAGATAAACAATATTCTTGTCAATCTCTTGACAAGTTGAGCAAGAACTCTACCACTGTAGCAATCTTGAGTCTTGAGGTTTAAAAGTTATTATGCCTCTTTGGTGTCCTATAGTTTTTGTCTTGTGTTTGTTGTAAAAGCTGCAGTTTCACTGAGTGGCCCAGGCTGGCTTTGAGCTCTCCATTCTCTTGCTTCTGCCTCCCGGTCCTAGGATTATTGGCATGTGCCACCACTTCTAGCTGCTCAGAACTTTCCACATCTTTTCTCATTTACTTTTTAAAATCATCCCGATAGCTTCAAATAAGCTGTACCCCAGGGAAGTTATTTTTGTTTAAGATCACTGAGTAGATACAGATTGAACCTGAATTTGTCCCTGATTTGAAGGAGAAAATGTCTAAAACTCATTAGGCTAGTAAGGAGAAATATCTTAAATTCTCCATAAAGTCAAAAAGTCAACCTACAATTAACAGAACAATCTGGGTAATCTCAGCTTTAGGACAGAGCCTACTTAATGCAAAACTATTTGTTCTATAGGATGACCTTGACCTTCTTATCATCCTGCCTTCACCCCTGAGTGCTGAGATTACAGGCATGTGTAACTGCTCCTCATTTTACGTGGTCATAGAGAGCAAATCCAGGGCTTTGTGCCTGCTAGGTAAACTACCAACTGAGGTAAACCCGCAGTCCACCATTCAGTATTAATTGTCTGGAATTGCATCCAAACATTAAGAACCACATACTGTTTAGCATCCTGTGTATGTTACAGGATGTCCTTTTGGAGTATTTTGACTTTACTAGTATTAGATTATAATTTTAGGTCATTGAAAAAGTTTTCTGTCTACTTAAAAGAACTAAATCATCCTTATCTTCTTTTGTGGGAGGGGCAAAGTGTGTGCTTTTAGAGTGTTATGGAAAGAGGGCTCCTGAAGGAGCAGAGTTCCTGTTTTATAGTAAGTATCAAATGTGCTCTTCCAGTTATCTCTATTATATTATACCCCACTCCAACATAAGTGACATAAAACAGTAATAATTTAATCACCTCAGTGTTCTTGTCAGGAATTTTGAGAGGTCGTTTCCACCATTCTGTGTTGGCTAAAGCAGGCACAGCTCTTCCCAGAATCATTGGGGTGAGAACATGGCCTCCCAACTCTAGATGATAGTACTAACTTAACAAGCTCGGCATAAAATACATTAATCTGGGAGCTCATGGATTGACTGCCAGCCCAGTTTAAGAGGCCCCAGGGTGGACTCCCAGCACCTTCTAAGCCTGTAATTTCAGCTGCTCCAGAAATGGAAGCAGAAGATCAAGACTTCAAGTTCATTCTCTGAATAAACCCAGCTTCGGGTCCACCTGGGCTACATTAGACCCTGTCTCAGAACAACAAAAGAAAAAGTTGATCTTTCTTCACACACACACACACACACACACACACACACACACACACACACACGCATAATTATTTTAAAGAAGAAATTTTAAAAATAATAAAATAAAAAATGTCCACCATGACAACTCATCTGGTAAAGGCGTCTGTTTCAAGCCTGACAGCCTGAGGTTTATTCCGTGGACCCATGTGGTGGAATGTGTCCTCTGACCACATGTGTGCTTTGGCACATGTGCATTCACACACGTATACACACATAGAAATACAATTTTTAAAATGTTAAAATATGTTTAGATATTGTAGCACTAGTTTGAAGCATTGTAAAATTGGAGTACCATTTCAAATATTTTATGTAATGAATTTTCTAAAAGACCAATTAAGTGTTGTTTAATTAAATTTCTCAAATACATTGACCTATAAATGATAAATGAATAAATTTTTAGCTACTTGTAGTGCTTTTCCAAGTAACAATGAGATTGCCATTTCGCCTTTAACAAATGATTAATTAATGAAAGTTTTGGAACTTAAGAGATGCTGCGATTTCAGGACACTGGTTTTAACATAATATTTAAAAAGAATTAGAAGGGATGTAATATCTTTATATTAAAGTTGTTTTGTTTTGGTTATTGAGACAGGGTCTCACTTTGCAGTCTAGGCTGGCCTTTATTTTGCAATCCTTGTGGCTCCTGAGTGTTGGAATTACATAATACACTAAGCCTGGCTGAAGAATTTTTTAATTAAAAATTTGCTCTTAGAGCTGAGGTAGAAATCTTTTTTTTTTTTTTTTTTTTGGGGGGGGGAAAAATTTTTTTTTTTTTTTTTTTTGGTCTTTTTGAGACAGGCTCTCCCTGTAGCCCCAACTGTTCTGGAACTCACTATGTAGACTAGGCTGGCCTTGAACTCACAGAGATCACCTTCCTCTGTCTCCTGAGTGCTGGGATTAAAGGCGTGTGCCACCACACCCAGCAGAAATATCTTCTAAAAATATTTTATATGTATGAGTGTTTTATCTGTATGTATGTAAGTGTACCCATGTTGTACAATGCCCACAGAGGCCAGAAGAGGGTGTTGGATCCCCTCAAATTGAAGTTACAAGGGTTGTTAGCCACACCATGAGTGCTGGAAATTGAACCCAGGTCCTGGAAGAACAGCAAGTGTTCTTAACTGTTGAGCCATCTCTCTAAGTCCAGAAATATATACTAATCCCAGCTCTCTTATTAACAAAATTTTGTATTTTGTATAATTTAGTATTTTGAATAAATTCTACCCCGTTAAGTCTCACTTCCTTTGTAAGATGTGAAAATTGAGATGAGATTTTTTTTTTTTTTTATAAGACCCTTCAGCTATGATTGTGGAGCAGTCTAGTTCAACTTTCTCAAATTGAGATATATTCACATATCATAAGTTCACCTTTTAGAGTCTATAGTTCAAAGGCATTTAGTATATTACAAAGTATGCAGCCATATCGGCGTCAAATTGAGAAAAGAAAGGCCATATTCTTCAGCAGTCAGCCTCGCTTCCTGAGCTCCCAGGGATCGCTACTGTGTTTTTTGTTTTTGTTGTTGGTCTTTTTGAGACAGGGTCTCCCTGTAGCCCCAGCTGTCCTGGAACTCACTATGTAGACCAGGCTGGCCTTGAACTCACAGAGATCCACCTGCCTCTGCCTCCCGAGTGCTGGGATTAAAGGCATGTGCCACCACGCCCTGCCCTACTATTGTGTTTTATGATTCTGTAAATTTGCCTGTTCTAGATGTTGTGCATAAGTAGGATTGTACGGCAGTTTTTGTATCTGCTTTTTTTTTTTTTAATCACTGTTTCCTATTGATGTCATATTTATGGTGTTGTGCAGCCGCTGCCACTGCCTAGTTTCAGGACATTTCATCGCTGTGAGGATACTATTAAAAGCTCTACTTTGTACTCCTAGCCCTGGCAATGACTAGTTCGATTTCCATCTCCATGGATTTGCCCATCCATTGTTGACGGTTCACAGTTCACATACGTGGAATCACAGCATATGGCTCTTTGTACCTAGCTTCTTCCACTTAGCATGTTTTCCATGTTCATCCATATTTTGGCATGTGTTTGTACCTTCTTTATACTTAACAACATTGCATTTTAAGGTTAGAGCACATTTTATTTATCTATATTTCCTTTGTGATTTGTTTCTGTTCTGGCTATCCTAGTAGGTGTAAAGTTTGCTTTTGATTTGCATTTCTCTAATGATTGGTGATTTTGATCATTCTTCTCACGTGCTTATTGCTTTTTGTATATCTTTTTTGTTCATGTCTGTTTCTAAATTGATTGACTGTATTTATGCTGTTGAATTGTATATTTCTTGTACAGTTCATTGTGTATTTTGTATACTACAACCTTAGATTATATAATTTGCAGATACTACATTTTAAAGGTTGTCTTTTTACTTTATTAATAGTGTCCTTTGATGCATTAAAATTTAATTTTAGTTTTAATAAAGTCTACAGTACTTATTTTTTACTTTTGTGTTTTATATTTTGATACCATGTCTATGAAAATTTTGCCTAATCCAAAGTGAAAAGTTGGGTTTTTTTGCTTTTGTGTGGTGGACCTGGGTCTTTTGTGTGGTGGACCTGGGTCTTTCTTTTGTGTGGTGGACCTGGGTCTTTTGTGTGGTGGACCTGGGTCTTTTGTGTGGTGGACCTGGGTCTTTTATGTGGTGGACCTGGGCCTTGAGTTATTTTTTTCTTTTGAATGTATGTTAAAACTCCCTTGAGAGGTAAAATGACCATTTTTATCCATGTCACTGTCTAATTTTTTTTTAAGTGATTAGCTCCAAAATAAAA